CACTGAGGTTATATTGATAGCCAAAGCTGATGCAACCTCTATCAGCAATGTCCAGGAGAGATACAAAGCTCAAAATGTGTCTGTGGGTGTCTATTATCCTTTTTGGGAGGGGTTTCCTCATTGCAACATCCACATGGCCATAACCCCTGAGATACTCCATCTGATTCACTAGTGTTCTAGCTTGATGACCAACAAAGAGCTGGATGATTGCATTTGTAGACTCCCACCTTGCTTTGGTGTATAGTATTTCAAGCATGGTTGGTCACAGCTATCTCAAATATCTGGGATGGGGAGAAAAAATATTGTGAGGATTTTACTAGGGTGCATTGTAGGGAAGGGAAGGTCCCCTCTCAGGTTGTAACTTGTTACAGGGTAATCCTTGACTTTATCAACATCGCACAATATGCAAGTTATGACATCAGGAAAAATGGGGTAGCTATATAGAGCAAATATAGAGCTATCTATGTCCATCAGTGTTCTGTTCCTTTTGATGATTATATATTGAGTTTGATTTGATCTGTATGTTTGATTGTAAGCGGTGTTGGGCAATAACCAAAGGTTTTTTGGATCAAAACATGCCTTGAAAGAGAAACATATCAAGGTGAGCTATACCCAGATACTAGGAGTAAAAGTACAACGTGTGAGACAAAACTCAACCCTAAGTTGTAGGAGTCCGGCATATACTTACTGTGGTGGCCAGAGATTAATGTACTGGGGGCATTGTATATCTCCAGTGCGGATGAATCTTGAAAGTAGGGGGCCAAGGTCAAAGTGTGATCCCTTAGGTAGAGCGTGAATGTGTCACTGGACCACCTGCTCATTGCCTTGACAATGTCAAAAGGCACTCCTTGCAGGAGGTATTCCAGTGTTCCTCCGATACAAATGCTATGTCCTTTGATGTTGGCAAGGTTTTTGGCGTTGACTATGAGTGCAATCTGGCCTCAAGTGGATCACCAGGATGAGGAAGGCCATCTCCTCTACTGCTAGGGAGGTTTTGGATGTCATTGCCATCCCCCAGCCCCCTTCTTATCCGTACCCAGAAGGCTGTTAATGCCCCCCCAGACATCACACTCTCTTTGACTTCCCGTCCCCACCTTTTTGTCCCAACCCCATTTTTCCTCCCAGCTCTCTCAACCCATTCAGGCAGGAAACAACTCCTTTGGACATTCCCAGAACCCCTTTTTCTTCCCCCAGGCCTTCTCCTTACTGGCCTTTTAAAATCCAACAAGGGGATTTGCCTCTGCTGCCAAGGCCCCATACATCCCTGGGAGGTGTAAATGCAAAGGCATTGTTGTATGAGCAAACTTTGTCACGGAACTCACATGCAGTAATGTCAGCCCCATAGAACAGACAGTGTAGTGCAACAGGTGCTTCCTGGAAAGGATCCAGCCAGCTTGACCTTGAAGGCAGCACACACCAAATTTTGGATGGATTCTGGAGGAACTTGTGAGTTTCTCAGTATCCCAGTGTAAGGCTCCACAATTATGACATTGCATGTCCATGTTGCGTAAAGTATGACGGTATAGAGGCTCTACATATGGTTGTTGGGCCTCCTGGCGTATTACCTGTGCTTGGCGGTGGTTGGCAATATTTTATTTGGTTGCAAGTCATTGAGGCCTTGGCATCCTTGGTGCATTTCTGGCAGCTACTGGTTGGTTTAAGTCCTCGCCTTGGTATACAGCATCCCTGGCAGCCCTGTGAGCCTGATCTGCTAGCTCGTCTTGCCTCCTTTCAAGCTCTTCTTGAGCAGCTCTCTGGGCCCTACAGACTTGCTCAGCTTGTTCCTCTTCATATTGCAGGTCAGCATGCTGAGCCTACCGCTGTACCTGCTGCCTAACTGCCTCTTGCCATTGAACTTCTCTGTCCTGGCAAACATGATCCTCAGCCAACTGCTGTTCCTGCTTTTGGAGCCATAATGCCTCCTGTTGCTGAATTGCCTGATCCTCAACCTGCCTGCTCCTGCCCTTTTAGTCTATTACGTCGCTGATTAACCTGTTCTGCATGTTGGTTTTGAAACCATCTAATAGCCTTTCATTATAGTCAACATCATAGATAGCAGGCAACTGGTTCCCCTGCCGCATCTGAAAAGTGGGCTGCAATTGAGGGTATGCAGGTCCAGTTAATGACTGAGGCATGTTATTATCATGCACAGTTCCTCCAAAATTTGGTTGCACAATATTTTTATATCTCAAATCTCTACAATCCAAGAGGTGCTCTCTTTGTATACTTGGTGATGTCATCTGTTGATGATGTTGTATGCAATCTCTATTGCAATGATCACCATGTTCTTGTTCAGGAGTTTGTGGAATATGTCTACAAATCAATACATCAGTTAATGGTTAAGACTCATTAACAATGCTACACATACTGCATCTTTGAATTGATCATATTCATATTTATGTATTTGCTATGTGCATTTATTTGTTGATAATTTGGGCTTCTGTAATCAATGTGTTAGTTTTAATTGAATCAACACCATAAACTGTTATAGACTCACAATGTGTAAGCTGTGTTTTTATGTGTGGGGAAGGGTCTTTAATTTAATTTTTATGCACACCACAGTGTGGTCAATAATGGCTGTTAATTTTGGTAATGCAAAATGTGCAAATTCTCGACAACAATTTGTTTTGTGTGTAGGGCCAGACTACTTCCCCACATAGTAGGAAAAGAGCTTTGTTTGGTTGAGTTGTGCCACATTGTGCCACAGGCGTGAGTTTTGGTGTCCACTATATTGTATTTTGTAGTAAAAAGGATTAAGCGCGAGGATTTTCAATGTGGCTACAATTTTCACTACAATTGTTGAATGTTCTTATAACTGTGAGAATTTTCAATGTGGCTACAATTTTCACTGCACTCATTACTACTGCACCACCTACTCTGCTAACTGAAAACCATGTGAGCAAAACTAAGCAAAAAAAGAATGTTAGACATGTCAGCATAGAAATTACACACAGGCGGACTTGAAAAATAGAAATCCCCAAAAGATCAGGAGACTGTATCTTAAGTCTGGTTGGAATAGCTGTGGTGCCTCGTGGCTTCCTGTGGTGGGCACACTCTGAGATTAGTCTTTTGAGTCTAAAACAATTTACTTCCCGCTCATTCCGCTTCAACTTCAAGTGCACATTTTTTACACTGGGATATCTGACAATCTGTAATTAACTGTAAAAAGCAGCAGTTTCCAGGTGATAATCACTAGCAGCTGGGAACAAGTCCTAGAAAAACTGACGAATCAATCAGGTGATTTTTGCTACTTTTATGTTCGAATTCACCCACTGCTCACTTGTCACATCAGGAAAAATGGGGGTAGCTATATAGAGCTCTATAGAACTATAAGTACTCATAAAGCTGTTATAGTGGTTAAACCTGTTATAGAACCTCTGCCATCTATAGAGCCTCATATAGCTCTATAAATGCTCTTATAGATGTTGGAAATTGTTGTGTGGCTGATAGAAAAAAATTAACAGACAAGATTTAAACTCTCAACCTGCTAGTCAGCTTTTGGGTGACTAAGCAACCTATCACCACACATCACATTTATTCACTACACCATGAGAGCTTATAAAATATATCATACAGGTGTTATATATTGACCTTTCATGGACTTATATTATTTTTTTACTCATTGTCACTACTTATATTTGGATAAATCATTATTTTTATTTTATAAATATCAAAGATACAAACTACTATCTCACTAATACAGGCTATATAATTGATTAATACTGTATGATTTATTAGCCCTTTTAAGCACCTTGAACTATATTATAACTATGAACTTCACAGCTATAGGAGCTATGTAGGCTGCTGCTATAGGCTATAAGAGCATTTATAGTACCTTGCCTATAAGAATATACTTGACTCCAAACACTTTTGGCCTTAATTGTGTTTTCTCATTTCGTATCATTGAAATACCAAGTTTAACATGTACACTATATTCTCTAGTAAATTCAGAATTTCAACAATTGTTTCACTCAAATTAAATTTCTTCTTTCGCTCACAGTTCCGAACAACTTCAATAGAAACCTGAAATTAATTGTGTTAATACTAATTTCTACAGGCAGTAATATCTCTTATTTTGAGCATAGAAAATGTTTAGTAAAATATTCCTGGTACCGTAGTTACCAGGTCTCAATTTTTTAATTATGGCTCAAAATGGTGACTGTCCGACTTCCGGGTTTACTCATCAGTATGACTCAGTATGACATTGTGAGGTCTCAAATCTTGTTCCATTCTCCCATTCTTTGAGCTTCAAGTATCCACTTCCTTCACATTTCGTCCCCAATTTCCTCCACTATCTACTAAGACTACTGCTCTCCTCTACTCAATGGGTCAAACATCATCATCATCATCATTGCAATATGAATGTGGTGACCCTTCCAATGGAGGCCCTTCTACTATGCAACATCATAGCCAGGAATCTGCATCCGACTGCTTGGACAATGTTGACGATTTAATGGCAGACTCCCTCTTCACACAAGGTTTATCAAACAGTCAGTATTTTCCCTCTAAGACTTATGGTTCCTCCTATAATTCACATTTTAGTGTCTCAACATGATTGTATGGAACAAACTGAAGCTCTTCATCAATGTTAGTTTTCAAAATTTTGCGCTTTTTCATGTAACCTCAATTTATTTATTTATTTTTTCCGTTGTTGCATTTTTCCTGTGCTTGAACATGATGAAGCAGACAAAGATGGTAAAGATGCTGCTACTTACATCAGTACCTATAGACTTTGTTGAAGCTTTGCTTTTGACTGTGTGTATGTAGATCAATTTTATGAGCCCTGTCATTTGTGGCCTGTTGGTCCCCATGTCATTGTGCAATTCTCGTCTCTCAGTCAAATGCTCCACAATTTCCAACATTTAACAGCAGCCCACTTGGCTGTCATTGCACAGTTACATGGCATGAAAGTTGCGAAAAACCCTGTCAAAACGGTTCTTGCCCATCACCCTCTGGATCATGCTTGTAATGATTCATGCAAACACCTTACATGTTTTGTTTTCTCTGAACTAAAGTGGGAAAGGCGCAACACTGTCTCAAAATATCTTATATCCTTCTTGTGCAAAGTGCATGCAAGAGACTGTACTCAACGGCAGTTGTGTGCTTCCAATGAGAGGGTATGTCATGCTACCCATAATGACAATGCTCAACGTCGACAACTTAATGAAAACTTCTCGCACTTAGCATCTCAATCACAAAAAAGAGAGATTATAAAACAGTGGCAGCATTACATTAATGATATTGGTGAGTCCTACAAACCTTGTGCGGTTTGTGGCCAGAGTAAGATTTTTGAGGAGGTTGTTAGTGTCAACCCTCAATTATTTGATTTGAAGCTATTACGAGATGATGTCCTACCTACATATCTCTTACCATCATCCTGCAACATTGATGTTTATGACCGTGCCATTTTATACCATGTGGCACTGCAAAATTTGAATGAGTTAGGTTTTGTTGATATGTGCAAATTTTGTAGACATTCTCTTGTTGACCTCAACAAACAACCATTAGATTCATGGGCCAACTTCCAATATTATGGTCATCATATCTTGCCCAAAAATGTTTCTGAGGCTTTACACACCGCAACACCTTTTGACCTCATGATGGTTGCACAAGCATGTGCGACTCAGCTCTCGTATTTGTTTTCTGAAAAGAATGGTAGAGGTGATCCCAACACATCACAAAAGTACATAAGGGGTAATGTTACAGTCTTACCACAGGACAGTGTGAAAGTAAAGAAATATCCCCCTCCTTCTCATGACAAAATTGAAGAAAGTATCTGCACATTGTTTGCTGGGGCTGATACACAAGTTTCTAGAGAAAGCATAGCTAAATTTCATCCTATCCTAGTTAGTAAAAGGAGGGTACAAACTTTATTAGAATTTCTCATTGCTCATAATCCCTGGTACAGGTCTGCAGGAGTTGAAATCAGTGAATCTAATTTGAACAATCTGTGCGTTGGAGATCATGATAGCCACTTGCCTTCTGCAATTAGCATGAATTTTCTTCCTAGTGAGCCCACTACAAATCCAGCAACATTGGGTTATACACAATAACCTTTTGTTGTGCCCCCATCTGCAGATCACGCAGACTTTGACTACTTGATGGATGCAGTGGGTTATACTTCTGGCAACCTCTCTCCTACAAGCTACCGCCTTATGAAAGCAACTGCTTTGGCTTCTTATCTAGATGGCAAACAATTTCTTCAGCTTCGCTCTGCCAGTACACCAATGAATGAGGATGATCCAGGCTTGTTATTGTCTTTATTCCCACACCTTGATCCTTGGGGGATTGGTGGTTTCCATGAGCCTAATCGTACAGAAGAACAAAAAATCTCTTTTGAGCGTCAAGTGCAAAACATGCTTCTGCAACGTGACCATCGGTTTCAGGCTGATCCTTTTTTTGCATATGTATGTTTTAACATCCTGCAAAAAAGAGACATCAATCGACAGATAAGCTTTTGTGTAGATCAAAATTGCGTGAATCTATTGGGACTGAAGTTAGTGAACATGCTCCTGGTTTGACTAACCTCATTCGTCTGTGGGAGAAGAATCCGGCTGCAAGGCCTTCAAATTCCTATCAAAAGAAAGCATTACAGTTATTGAACAAACTTAAACTCATTGTCAAAGATGTGAAAGGCTCTACCAGTTACAAGTTATGTTGTAGGAATGAAATCAGAGCATTGATCAAAAGGTTTGGCACTCCTGCTCTGTTTATAACATTGAATCCTTCTGATATCCATAGCACGCTTGTTGGTATTTTGGGAGGTATAACCCCTGCAGCATGGCGGTCCATGACTACATATGAACGCTCTGTAGTCATTGCAAAGAACCCTGCAATCACTGCTACTTTTTTCCATGTAATGATGACCACTTTTCTCAATGTCATTGTTAAGCATGGTAAAATCTCACCTGGTTTATTTGGCCATTCTGAGGCTTATTACGGGATGGTGAAAGCACAAGGGCATGGCAATCTGCATTGTCATCTTCTGTTATGGTTACATGGCAACCCAAATCCCCAAGTTCTTTGTGATCATATGGCACAGGATGATCTCTATAAGGACCAGATCTTTAACTGGCTGGAATCAGTCATTAAATGTGAACTACCCACCAACAGTGAAGTTATTGTTGAACAACCAGGGTGTCCATTGAAAAAACCTTCATTGTCTGTCAATGAACTTGACCCCCGTATTGCAGAAGGTCCAAACTTAGGTGATGATGACTCTGATTTTGCTGAGCAATTTCAGCAATTTGTTACAGAGTTGGCTGTCCATTGTAATTGGCATGAGCATACTGAGACTTGTTGGAAACATTTACAAAACAACAAACCAAGGGATGATCACCACTGCAGGATGAGGATGAATGGTACAACCAGGGCATTCATAGACATAGACCCTGAGACACAATCTATTTTGCTTTGGAGGCTGCACCCTCGTATCAATAATTTTAATGATGTTGTGTTGTTCCTTTTGCACTATAATATGGACATTAAGTATATAGAATCTGGTCAGGCTGCAAAAGCTTTAGTAGACTATGTGACGGATTATATTATAAAGAGCTTTTTTCCTGTGCACGTTGGCTTTGATGCTCTAAGATATGCCATCAAACAAAATTCTGTAAAGTTTACAGAAGATTCTAATTCCAGCCCCAAGGAGAAAAGTCGCAGCTTGTTTACAAAGTGTGTGAACGCTATCATTGCCTGCCAGGAACTATCGCACCAGCAGGTAATGAGCTATCTTGTTGGTGGTGGTGATTGTTATAAAAGTCATACCTTCCAAATTTTGCGTTGGGGCCAATTTAACCGTTACATACAGTCACAGCAACGAGACAGTGAAGACTTGCCATCCCATTCTGTTGATCAAGATATTGATGCCACCATTGCAGAAAGTTCTGATTCCGATGGCAAAAATGATGAACATCCTGTTCTACTGCCCTCAACAAATGACTCACTTGAATTGCATGAAGAGGTTTTGCTGTCTTTGGACGGGGATCGTTTTTCAGTGCATAGTAATCTACAAGATTATCAATGGCGCTCTCCTGAGCCAACATTTGGAAAATTGTCTTTATGGGAATACACAGAATATGCTCACAAAATTTTATTAGCAGCTGAAAATGCTCGACTAGCAAGGCTGAGTGAACGGACTGGTTAAGATGACAAAATTGCATCTGATAGTGAGACCTTATATCATAGGCATGGAAAATGTGCTCAGCCCCATGGCCACCTGTGCCAGGAGCATCCTCAGTTCAACAGCCACATACTCCATTTAAGAGAAGAGCCATACATACCTGTTTTGCTTGGTGGTGCTTTGCCTCGCCATGATTGCTCAGAAGATGAGCATGAACTGTGGTGTCGGGCAATGTTGATTCTCTTCAAACCTTGGAGAGCTGCAAGTGATTTGAAGAGCACTAATGAGTCTTTGCATGAAGCTTTCAATCTAGCTGACTTTAAAATGGAACATAGAACAATTATGGATAACATCAATGTAGAGAATGAATGCAAAGACGCATGAGATGAGTATGACATCTCAAGGACCACTGGAAACAATCAAGATCCTCTCCTGCCTGATCTTGCATATGATGACAACACAGATTCCATGGATGCCCTACAACAAAATCTCATAAATGATGATATAAATAACCATGTTGTTGATGAATTTGATTCATTGGCGGCTTTGCAGGGCTGTGTAAAAGATAAATGGATTCAGAATGTGAATGAAGCATTGGCTGCAGTTGACAAAGCTGGCCTTATTGCAAAATACCCACTATTTCCCATCTATAGAAAGTATCTGCCTCCATCTATTGCTACTCCCAGTGACATTGAACAAATTCGTTTACAAGCTCAACTAATGAAGAACTTGAAACAACTAAAAAGACTGCAACAGCAGCTGTCTGAAACAACATGTGATGATGTAGAGCAACCTACGAGGTGTAAGAAAGCTCGTATTGACCATGCTGCACAAACAAGTATTTTGTTGGTTGATGCCAACAACTATGGTGCTTCAAAATCAATGGCCAATCAGAATCTCCACCTACACATTTTGAACAACGTGATAAGGGACAAAGGTATTTCAGGAAATGATGAACAAGAACGTGCTGTTAGAATTGTCAGTGAACATTTTTCTGCAAACTCAAAGGAACAGCTAATGTTGTACGTGGCTGGAATAGGCGGCTCTGAAAAGAGCCATGTTGTCAATGCCATTGTTGAAATTTTTAATAGATGTAATGCATCTAGTCAAATATTATTTAGTGCACCAACAGGTTGTGCCGCTGTTTTGATTGGAGGCTACACAATTCATTCATTGACATTCCTACCTAAAAGTCAATATAAACCAAATCAGGCTGAATTAGAGGCTATATGGTGAGATGTCAAATACCTTGTCATAGACAAAATTTCCATGGTTTTTGCGTCTTTGCTTAGTGTCATCTCCCACAGGTTGTGTTGTGCCAAGGCAATGGATGCTATATGAGTGCAACAACCTTTTGGTGGCATTAATGTTATCTTTACCGGTGATTTTGGTCAACTGAAGCCTGTAAAAGATGCTGCACTGTTCAGCCACTCTCTACTTGCGAACATCATACCAAACACAGCTTTGACAGATTCAGGACAATCGGCATTACACGGAGCGTTGCTGTGGCATCAAGTCAACCAAGTTGTGGAACTCAAAAAAAATTGGCGCCCTCAGCAAGATCCCGCCTTTGTTAACTTACTTCAATGTATTTGAAGTGGCATAGTGTGGATGAATACCTCAGAAAGGACTGAGCAGCAACAAGGTACTGGTGAGAATTATGAAGATTCTGATTTTTGTGTGCTCACACAACATTGCCTGCACTTGCTGTCTAATGACAATTCAGAAGACTTCAAAGATACTCCCATCATTGTGTGTGGAAAAACAGTGCAGGATGCTATTAATTACAAAAAGGCTGAAAGTTATGCTTTCAATGCTGGTGAGGAATTTGCACTCTATCATTCCTGAGACTATCTCAAAAAGCAATGTTTGCAGAATGATGTGCAGGAATTTGCATGGCATAATTTTGGAAGCACTCTCACGCACAACAGCCTTGGGTAATTACCACTTGCTCGTGGTATGTGTGTCATAGTCACAGAGAATATAGCTTTTTTGTGCAAGGTAGTCAACGGATCAGAAGGCATTTTGGAAGATATTAAATACTCTGTAGATGATGCTAACAGACGCTATGCTGAGTGTGCATACATCAAAATTGATGGAGCAGGTTTACAAGCACCTGGGCTTGATCACGACATTATTTTTATTCTACCTACGCCCACTAGATTTATCTACCGGCCAAAGAAGAATGAAGACCGTATGACATGCCCTGACATGCTGCAATCTGCAGCCATTGTACATACCCAATTGCCAATCCTACCAGCATATGCTTTCACAGATTACAAAGTACAAGGATGTTCACTTTGCAAAGTCATACTTGACTTGGCAGGGTGTAGGTCACTGCAAAGTGTGTATGTGATACTCTCTTGAGCACATTCACTTGCAGGTATTGCTATCTTGCGATGGTTCCCTGCCATAAAAAATTACACAACACTTGGGTCAACAGTTCCAAGATGAATTTGCGCACTTGCATAACTTGGACATTCAGACCAAAATTCAATATGAAGCAAGCCACCTCTTACAACCAGTAATCAGATCATAACTGCTGTATCGCCCATATACTATTTTACACAGCTGTTGTTTTACTGTTACCCATAAGGTGAATTTGATCCTCTTGTTGTTGCAAATGGTCTCAAGGTTTCATACTCTCCCGTGCAACTATAGCCCCCAAGGTACCAAATCATCCCTCCTTCTGCACATCGTTTCTCCTCTGCAGGGATTATCAACTCCACTCCTGCCGACCCATCCCTCATCCTCCGGAACATAGTCCCTGCATCAAACACTGTGCGGATGGTGTGCATGCATATGTAGTCTTTACAGCATGTATGTGCTGTGTTTCTATCTTCTGCTTCCCAAGCTCTTGGTGCAATGCGTAAATCATAGCCACGGTCTATGTATTTTTGATAGCACCTGATAGTGTTTGGATGAGGAGTTGTACGGTCAAAAACTGTATAATGGTTGGCGTTGATAAGTCCCTTTCCCTTTGTTGTGAGCTTGGGATATGCACAAAAAAATCCATTTCCTGAAATGTAGTTCATAACAGGTGTTGAATGAAAGCAAAAAATGGGAGCGACACTCATATACGTTGAAGAAATGACAACATCAATTGACCTGTTGCCATTTGCAACAGTAATGACCTCGGATATGTTGTGGTTGGCCACATACCCCTCTTGCCCCGCAACATGTTTTTCAACCACAACATAGCCCTCTTCTTCTCTCAACATCTGCAACGCTCTGTCTTTCTTGAAGAACGGGACATATAAATCCATATCTCAAGGGTCCCATTCTGTCCTTCCTTCAAAAAACTTCAAAGCAACTGACCCCAACACCACACTTTTCATCTGCAGGATATTTGAAAGGAAGGTCGCTGGATAGCGCACAAATTGTCTCAATACAGCAAAGAGTTGCTCCTTCACGTATGAATGTACCAACTTGTAATTGCAAGATGATGTGCTGGTATATAGAATGGCATCCACCACAGACATATTACCTAAAACAGCACCCACTATTTCCGATGGGCAAACTCCAACCAGACAACCATCAGGATATGATGCGTGGATAGGTGCAGGATGGACTGTGCGCGCAAGTTCAACATTTGGGGAAGGCATGGCAAATGTTTTGTTTGCAGTACGTACCTGCACCACCCCTCTATTTATATTTGTCATCCTGCTGTGCACTTTTTGTGTTTGCCTTTTCCAGCTGATGTTCCATTTTCTGATATGCCTACCTCTAACCATGCTTCTCACCGTGCATTGGTTTCAGACCAATGACTCCTCCTATAAACCTTATTCTTGCAATTCAAATTCTGCGTTGCTCTTTTATTAAATGATGCGTAGTTCTGAACTGCTTACCCTAACAGTCTTCTCCCCAGCCATGTCCTGGTTCCAATGTAATTTGCTCTGTCGTCTGTCTTCGTTATGTGTACTCATTATTGTTTCATAGTTGACAACAACCAATCTTTTGTGGTAGCAAGTTTTCCGATGAGCCTGTGTGACGCTCTTGCGCCACAGGTTGTTGAACAGCCTTTTGGCATGCACATTGTTCCAACCACATACCACAACACCTGTGAATAGGAATATGTTGTGAAAGACCCCACCTCCACTGATCACAACCACTATCACATATTTTTATACAGGCAACCAAACGACAACAGTGACATGGACATGTTGTACCCAGTCAAGTTAAGAATGCAAGGCGTTCTCAGTAACTTTAACTTGGCCTCATTAGGCACATGGAATGGGTAATGGATCCCCTAACCTTTATACATCTTTCTAACTACTTTACTCCATTTTCAGCATCCCGCTCCAAGCATCTTCAGCTTGCCAAACACTGACACTAACTTCTGGTCCTTTCCATGACCAATGGCAACCTATTCTGTCTGCAATCTGTAATATCTGCCAACTGATCCACGTAAGCTTGGGTGAAAATAGCTATGAAGAGCCTCCTATCCTTTCTATGCATAACTTGTACATGTAGCGACACATCTTTACAAAGGTATGTCAAACAGTACAGCTTATGATTCATACTTAAAACAAGATTTAGATTATGGCTTGTAATGCAAATGTGCCATCTGTGCTTATGTCCAGTGATGATCCAGAAGCCAAAGCAAATGCTATCAAGGACAAGTGGTGTGTGGTTCAGAAGTTACCCCTTGCCTGGTTGCAACCAAATGGCACAAACATACCCTGTGCACATACAGTTTTTCAAACTGGAGATTTTGTAGATGTTGGAGCTTCAATAAATATTAGCATGTTTCGTGTTTGTGGACAGAAATGTGTTATCTGTGCTCATTTAAAACTTGAGCATATTTTCCAAATTGCTCCTGTGACTCAAATGTGTTCGGTGCACTTGTTGTTTTTTTATTTCTTGCTCGGCCAGTCCTCACCTTTATTGCCAACAGCTTGGTATCAAACCAAACCACAAAGGCCCTGTATCCCCTCCCTCAGCGTCAAGCTCCAATACTACTGCCAAGCCTGCATAATGTTTTACCAAAAAGTCTGATCACACATATCTGTTTTATTTCTGAATCATACTCATGTATCACCGTAAATACCATATATCGACCTTATATTGTATTCCGCATTCTTATCAGTGGAACAAGCCTACCGGTAAATCAAATTCAAAATTACATCTCAATAATAATCCCCGAGCTTCAAGCATATAATGCTATCCTTCGCTCCAAAAAAGTGTAGAAACATAAGTACTGCCCAAAATTTGTCTGCTTCTTGATCCCCCACTTTCTGCTAACATGCCCGCTGCAAAACGCTCACTTTCCAAGACACGCTCCACCATAGATGAAAGTCAGACTAAAAAGCCAAAAAGGTCCACCATGAACAATGACACGCTCTCTGATTTGTCGAACAAAGAGATTGATCCAGCTGATACATATACCATGCTGTACGTCAATTTACTCATTCGTGCCACTTTGTTATATATCTCATTATTGTTCCTTTCTGCTCGGTTTAGTAATGTGCCATCTAACATGTCAGACGAATAGACTCACAGTTTACTTTTGTCAGAGTTAGTCCTTTTTTTTTGGCTTGTTAGTTATCTTCAACTTGTCAATGTCATCCCCGTTACCACTTGATAGAAACAATCTCTCCTCTGATAACCTTTACCTCAACAAGGATGAACCTGTTAATCATGTTGGTAATCATAGCAATAACAGCACAGAAAACAATGTCAACTATGCAGGCGACAACACTACTGCTGTGCAACAAAGTGAACACATCCTCCTTGATACATCAATTCTGCGAGGTCTGCCTATAAACACTGTTCGGTAATGATCTCACACATTGTATTGGCCCTACAGCTCACTCTGTGCTTAGACGTATTGAAGCTTTTGCAAATTTCTCCGATCCTGAAATCTTGACATACAGCATTGACAAGTTACCACCCGTCATTTCTTGGGGCAAGACCAAGCATAAGAAAAATTGGTCCTACTATATTTGTGATAGTGAGTCGAACAAACCTTACACTATTTGGGTAGTTGGTTGCATCTCAAAAGTTTGGTTATCCGGAGGCGGCCCTGATGGTGCTCCCAAGGCACACGTTAACATAGCTGTACAGCCATTTGGTATTAATTCCCTCACAGCTTACCAATCTGTCATTGAAAACTTACATGATCCTCCTCAAGGTGTGCCCCTTCGTATTCTGAAAGTTTTATCTCACCCCTACTTTTTAGACATGACCAACAATGGCTGGAACAATATCATTGCTTCACGCTACCAAACGGCTTTTGATAACAAGGGACAACCACAAAATGTGCATATCAACTAATTAATTGTCTATGATATCTCACCATATTTTAGGCAGTTCCTTTTATTGCGGTTTATGATGCACGTAATGCCTTCACAGTCAAGAATGATATGGATGCATACCCCTCTCGGCGTCTTAAAATGAACAATGTTGTATTGATGGAAACATTTATCAAACGATACAAATGGGAAAAGTCTGTCAAACATTGGCAGAGTTGGAATGTGATCTTGGAGCTTCAAGAAGTTTCTCTCATACATACTGCTGCTAACGCACTCAATATTTGACGTGTCTCAAACCAATTTTGTCTTGTTCCATTTTCCATTTTCCAGTCTTACTTGTATGAATAATGTCATGTCGGTCTCATCCTCTGTTCCCTAAATAACTAATGTTCCAATGACGGTCCCCTCCCTTCAACACCTTCGTCATGTTCTCAAATCTCATGCTACAACATGCACCACTATAGCTGTGGTCGGCCGAGACCAGGGTTGCCTGGAGGGCCATGCTATAATATTTTGTAAGCACATTTTGGTGACCATTTTGGACGGTAAAATATTGGTCATTGTGGTGTGCGAGTAATTTCACTCGCAAAAATGGTTGCAACATCTGTCCAACGATAGTACCTTATCTTCACCATTATGCAACTTGACATATTTTCCAAGTGATTCTGTTGCCAATCCAACAATTTTCAAGGTGTCATTGTTAACTACAGTAGTAAAGCATGATTTACGATCTTGAGAACAATCAAAACATAGCGTGATAGAACTAGTCCCTGATTTCAGTCTGTGACCCGTGAGCAGCTAGTCGACTTTCCAAATTCCTGTAAATGGCAGAACATTGATTCAGATTGCGGAGTTGCATGGAGAACAAATAGCAAACCTCAGTGACTCTTCTTTGGCTAAGAGCTCTTGACGCTTCTCATTAATCTCGCGTTGAACTTTCAATTCAATTTCGCGCAGCTGTGGGAATATACGTTTGAAAGATCAGTGGAAAACCTCCTGCAGACTTACCTTCTCTTCCTCTCTGCGGAGCTGTTCTTCTTTGAGGCGCACACTCTGAGTGGCAAGTTCCTCAGGAAGGATAGACGAATCACTATGGATAGATAAACAAATGTTGTTATTTGTTATATCTTGAATATCATGTTCCGACTGACTGTGTGTCTGAGTGAACAGTCCTAGAAAGTTTCTCCGTGCGATAAGTTTCGTAAAGAACATCGTGAGTCAATGATTTTAGGTCAGCAAGATGCGAACTGGTGGCAATGGTCAGGTTAGATTAAATGAGGAGGCAATAAGCATCACTTTAACAGAGCGCTTCGAAGCCTACTGAAATCGGAATGCTTGGGGTTATCGACTTCGGCGATACCCCAAGGATAAATTCTGGCGCGGACAGGCTGGCCTTCTATCACAATTTCATCCTCGGAGCCAATTATGGCGAATGGAAGGAGAGCCTACAACGATAACTATAAAACACGTTCGGAAGATTCAAAAAAATTAGAGCTTACTCTGAGCTCGCTGTTATCCTGAATGGTCTCCTCATCATCTTCTTCTACGTCATAGGGAAAATTATAAACAGGGATATCGTAGTGCTCGATATCTTCCATGATCTAAACAGATCGGATCAATGCCGAAGACATCATCATAAGCCTGAATATACCCGTTTTTTGAACCCTCGTAGCTCAGTAGGAGTCAAAGAATCTGCTTTTCCTATCACTGGTATAACATTGACACGAGGTGACAAACGTCGCATAAGCTCGATATCCATCTCCCTCAGTCTGACAGTACACGGTGAGCAAATCCATAATCAGTGTGGTTTCGATAACAAATACATACGAATGACCGGTAGGCGGGATGAAGTAAAGCAGAGCATGTACCCGATTATCTCGGAATCGAGGATTACGCTTGATGCGAGACTCTTCCGCCAAGATATCGTCGTATTGACGTTCAAGGTAGCCAACAATTTCCTGGAAACTGTAAACCAAGTCAGTAGAACACAGCGACAGCGGAAGCGTCAACTAACGCAAATTCATTGTCAATATTGTCACCGAAACCGGGTGTATCAACTATGGTGAGAGCGATTCGAACACCATCCTCTTCTAGTTCTAAAAGAGAAAGGTTTCGAATGCTCAACTCTGTGGCTTTGCGATCACTTTGTCGAGACTTACCGACGTTGACAGGTTTGATTCTGATACCTTCCTCGATGTGCGCCGCCTCAGGATTATCAGTTATCTTGTGGGTTAACACCTCAGATTCACATAGTGTGTTCACAAAGGTCGTCCTGCCAGTCCCTGATGCCCCTACAACATTTCAGGACATCTAGTCAGGTTGTGGGTCACGATATGGGGTAAACAATTCTATATCTGAGCTTACCGACGACCATAACTGTGAACTGAACACCTTTCTTTACCTTGTTTCCTCTGCGTCTACCAGCAAATGACATGATGCAAAAGAACCAACTTTTTTTTGAAGCGGCAAGAAAGAGACAATTCTCAAGAAGGTTGTATAAAAGGCATTTGAACTCCGCTTTACTACCAGTAACTAACGCGCCACATCCTCTAACACATCAACACTAGGTCCACCCCGTGGCTCTCCCACTGGTGCGATGTTTTTGTGATATGATAAATAATAATAATAATAATATCGCTGTTAAGTGATCAAAATGTTAAGTGAACTTATGCTGTCTGTAATGTATGTTAAGTCTTTGAATCCTATGACGCATGTTTGACTTGCAGTTCTGTCGCTGAATATCCTTATAAGCCTGCCCTAAACTTGTACACAGTATACTGAATTCAAGCAGGTAGTTCATTGAATCTTTACAAACATCAACATATATTGTGATGTAAAAAGTCTATGGTTATTACATTGATAAATTGATGAGAAATAAAAAAAGAGACTTCCAGAAATGGTAAAGGATGATAATATGACCTGAGAATAAAACACTTTAGTAAAAGGCAGCATGGACAGGGAATTGAAAATGTGATAGCTTGATGGGCAATTCTTCCAATGAAGGTTCCAATGTGAGGCGTGGAATAAAAGCTACCTTTCCTGCATGTTTTCCTCCCAAGACATGGCACTTGTAACAACCTAGATATACTCTGGCGCACACAGGAACAACACTATAAGGAAGATGTTGAGGGAGTGGTTACCCCTTAGAATTCAGAGAGTTAGTTGGTATACAACAGGAGGACTCGCTGAGTCCTTCCCCATGTATTGCTCTTGTGCATATACTAAAATACATGAGGTACTGTACAGTTGTAAATAAAGTTCAATGTCCGATGTCTAGCATGTGACCGGTCACATGATGAGTCTAGACACTGGTCAGGTGATATGTCACATGACTGGTTATGTGACTATGAAAAGTTGAAAATGTAAAGTAAAGTAAATGGTCACATGACTGGTCATGTGACTTGGAAAATAAAAGTAGAAGTACAAAAGTGAAGTGTAAGTAGGTGCTGGTATGTCAATTGTAACAGCACTTCAATACTCTTCATCTCTATCAAAATCATGCATATTCCATTACAGAGTCCATTTAAGGGATCAATATTGTGGAGGAGCATAAGTGGACATCCAGCTTTAAGTTTGAGGTGCGCTTCAGGAAGGCCAGATACTTGCAAGGAGTTCAAGAATTCCACAGGATAATGTTCATGCCCCTCTCCAACCACTTTATCAATTGACAGAGCTACTAACTTTTTTCCAGGGAATTTTGTGAGCATTGCTGAATTAAGGTTATTAACAAAATCATTTTTTGTGGAGAGGATGGTGCAGTGGAGGAAATAATAGTCATCTTGGTCTCCTTTTGCAATTCCAGGATAGGTAGTGTCAACTAATGAGTCTATGGTGCTTTCTGGCATAAGCATGTTGGCGGGAAGCTCAATAGTTCCATCTCCTGCAATTCCACAACCACCACCAACATCCAGCTAGCAAAAGCTTCACTTTCTGGAGTACGGTCCAGGCACATGTTCTGTGTGAGATAGCAGATATGGATATTTGTCCACAGTTGTGACCTTCTAAGAAAGGCAGAAATAATGCATTGCCTTGACCCTCTTGGAACAACAGGTGTTGTTTGGCGGAAGTCCCCTCCAAAGACCATTATAATGCCTCCAAATGGAAGTTGATTATCCAAAATGTCCCGCAATGTACAATCTAATGCTTTAATCCCATGACAGTGTTGCATTGACGCTTCATCCCAGACTATAACTCCGGTATGTCTCAATCATGGAGGTCAGAGTTGTTTGGAATCCTGCATGTGGATGTTTTATGTCCAGGAATAGGGATTCCAAAGTGTGAATGAGCTGTGCAGCCACCCTCCAAGAGCAGGGATTCAATCTCAGAGGATGCTACACATAGAGCAACATTATGATTATCTCTTGCTCAAGCAGCAGCGGCAATTGTATTACAGAGATATGTTTTTCCCTTACCCTTACCTTCAGCACTGTGAATAAAGCAAGTTATTCCCCAATTATGATAGATTGACTGTATGATGGTATCAAAAGCATTCTGTTGCTCTTGACTGAGCTACTCCATACTATCTTTAGAGTAATAATAATACAGTAAAGTGATCAAATTTTATTTAGTCAGAAGTCAGTGAATGTGTGCTGTCTGTCCTTATAAACATGAGAATTTCAATGTGGCTGCAATTTTCACTGCGTTCACTACTACTGTACTGCTGCTCCTGTGTTACCACAAAAACCAAGCGAGCAAAACTAAGTGGAATAACCGACACAATGTGGCTCACACGCGGCATTTGGGATCATTGTCCCCTTTGTTATAGACTACGAGCAATGGCCAAAATCCCACGTTGCGGCAGATGTGAGCCAGAGCGTGGGATGGAAAACTGTGACAGCAATGCCCGGTTCCCCAAAGGCTGGTGCAAATATGGGTGAATCCGCCACCACAGCTGTCTTTATTTTCCTGCAGCCACTACTGTAGCAAGGTGCAATTTTCAATATTCTACATGTCTGACATCACCCTTTCTTTTGTTGTAATGGTGCCTTTATTGATAACCTTCCCGAGCCTTCCACAGCCAACAGGCTTTCATGTTGCGAATGTTCTCATATACAAAGGTTGAAAGGGGCTTATTCTTGTAAGGACCATTTATATTTTCTTATTTTCTTATCTTTTTGTTCCATGTCTTGGTTCTCAGACGCTTTCCCCATCACACCTCTGGCTCTAGGGCTAGAAGTATCCTTGGCTATCTTGCTTCTCATAGCCCTCACAGGCTTTCTTAACCATTGTTACCACTTCATATCGCAGATCAGAGACTGGGTAGTACTCCCAGCTAGCCAGCACAATGGGTAAGGACTGGTGGTAGAGATCTCGCCAACCACCTCCAAGACCCATCAGTGCCTGGAGATATTAATAAACACTTTAGTCAGGATTGTACTGCCTCATGAGGATACGGTTCCTGAACACGCATGACAATACTCATTATTAGTACAATCTCTCACCTGCTGATTAATCCCTAAAAGTTGTACAATAGTTATTCTTTTTCTTATTGGACAGTTTCATCCTCAGACCACTTTTCTTTTATTCTACTTCCAGTCTGAGAGAGAGAAAATTAGCTATAAAAACCCTACTAACTCATGTATTGTTCTTTAGCTTTTTATTACTTGAATAACCCGCTTCACTCCTCATCAAAAACCTTTGAGTTTACCATCAGTCCTCTACCTGCTATAATCTCTAGCAACTGTCAACCTCAAACTCATCGTGCCTTTTACTCCCTGCAAGTGCAGACGGAGACAGGTATTGTTTTTATTATAGTTTAATGTTGCCTCACAATTCTGCGATGTGTAAAAGGTAACCTTCCCGCAATTATATAATATCGTTATTAAAATAAATTCGATAATGAAGGCAAATGTAGCTGCTGTTGGGTAGCTATCTTACTGTGTGCTTGTCCACATATGCTAATAAAAGACAAAGGGCTAGGAAAGAGGGTAGCTACCTAGAAGTTACCATACAATTTGCTAGTGAATGCAAAGTATGCAAACACAAAAATATAAGGTAGCTACATAAAAGCTACTGCATGATCTACTGATGCACATCAAGATCCACTCATGTGAAAGGTTAATAATATCATTCTAATAACCAAAAGATTGAAATAGAGACATTAGTAGCTACTATCCACAAAAAAAGGCCAAAAAGATGAAAGAAATAAATGTATACCATCCGCAGGACAATTGTAGCCTAGTAATTACTATAATTCAAAACTGAAAACTGTATGAGTTTTTTAGGACAATTAAAAAATATGTATGAACCCTGTCCAATGACTTCGCAACAATGCATTCTTCTGCAATGCCCTCCAATATATATACTAAGCAGCTGAAATGTGATATTATATCACTCAGCTTCAATACATGTGGGTGAATCTTGAAGCAATTATAGTACAGTCGAGCACCTACATTTTCAAACACCAGGAAAGGGTCCTTAGTTTGGTCTAATGTTGACAGGCCCTCATATTCTTCCACTACAATGAATGTTTCTTCGACTGAGCGGCCTGTAGTTGTAACACGAGAGTGAACAAAAATCTGACATATTTGTTCAGCAGTGATGATTCCACACTGTCCTACAGCAGTGTATGGCTGGAACAGTACAAAATAATTTTCAACTGAACTCTTTGGAATAGAGAAAGATACCCCATCAGATTTGATGCTCTTGATGGAATTAACCCTAGAATCAACAAGCAAGTGTGAGTCTTTTCCAGCGTCATCCCATTGTAAGAATAGTGGCTGGTCTGCTGTAGCCCCAGCATTAAGCCTTCTTATTAGGGCCTTCCAAAATTATGGGGAGGGCAAATCATCCACGAAGGAAAGGATGTCTTTTTTATATCCGCTTGAATATTCTCGAGACATTCTTCTGAAAGGATGCAGAACTTTGATACATCAGGACCTTCTGCACCCTTTAAAACAAAATCGGTTGCTGAATCCTTCATCACCATAGGTATGTGGATAGCGATGCCTGGATTTTCACGATACTGGAAAAATATAAGTTATCAATAATACTATCAGACATCAATAGGATCACACCTAATTCAATAGAGCATGTGCGTATGCTGCCTTTGTGAACAATTGGCCTTGAACTGGGGCCTCGTTGGGCGGTGTGGGGGCTACAACATAGCCTCTACACAGTTGTTTCAAGGCATTAAATGACTGCTTTTCAATTGCCTATTGTCCTTTCTCAGGCTCAATGGCTTGTTGTTCTGGGTTGTGAAGTTGCACCTTTGTGGACATCTTCTTGCCAGCCCTAATATCAATCCCCCATACCTGCCTGCAATGGTGCTGAAATTCACCTAAAATAAATTATGCATAGCATCCAATACCGAGAATTTTGTCACATCCCAGTAAGGTAAACAGAGTAGTTCTGACCAGCATGGACCCGAGCAATTGAACACTCTTTCTTGTGCTTCCTGTGATCCAGCATTCTTCCAACATTCAGCTTGATGCCAATGTTCTTTCCAGCTGTGTCTGGGCCATGTCGCTTTGTTCAGGTTGGGAATTTCACTCTTTGGTAGGCGGCAGAATGAGCAAAATGCCTCAGCATTATAGATTGCAAAGCCTGCTGTTTTACGCAATGTGGGCAAATCACATATGGGAGGCCCCAGTGCACAATGGACAAGACATCCAAATGGTTTAGACCATGTATGCCCAAGTAAAATTCTGTGCTCCCAGAGACACAGCAGATCGTCGATAAGTGGTCAGAGGATGTTATTCATGTGATGAAGCTTGAGCTTGTGGGGGCCAGGAATTAAGCCAACAAGGTATACATTCTCAAGTTCATACCAAAGGTGAGTGGGCAAGTTAAGAACCATATATATGGCACCAGTGGAGTAGATTTTGCCGGCTTTCTTATTTCTGTATGGATTGAACCAGTCAACAAATAGACTGAATACCAGATGGCTTGCACCAGGTGTTCTAACGGCAAATGGTTTCCCATCTGGGCATTTGATTTTGTGTAATGCAGTAGCGTCCCAAATGTCCTTCTATTCATCACCTGATGTAATGTCCCACACTGAATCCATATAGCTTTCAAGATCTGCACGAGAAAATAACCGAGCCAGCCAAGAGGCAAAGGGTTGATAGGATAAAACTTTCAAAGGCCTATGACCAGCAAGACCGTCCGATGCAGATCCATCATTTGGTTGTGATCTGAGTAGAGGCTCACCACATATATTGTCATGGTGAGTTTTGCAATAGGTACAATATTGAGGGTACAGTACCGGTAATAATTTGTCGGGGTGGTAGGTTGAGAAGCAAGCAGGACAGCAGGTGTAATCCACCATATCAGGTGCTATATCCAGCCTATCAAGAACTGTATAAATGTCCTTCAGCAAATCATTCAGAAGATTCGACTCATTGCAAGAGAGTTGGCTGGGAAAACCTTGTGTGGAATGGAGGAACGCAAAAGAGGCTGAGATAATAACACGTAGGGCAGCCAGAGTGAAGTGAGAGTTGGGCCAGGCAATACCTGCGAAGATGTGAAGCACAACAGCCAGAAAAATGGCCACTAGTAACAGCAGTTCTTGTGGCATACTAGAGCGGGTAAAGTATTGTTCTAATTGATTTTGAATAGTGGAACAACACAACACTGGGAAACCTCACATACCAGTAGACAAAAGTGGTGGCCCATCTGTTTCTGAACAAGAACTGAGAAGCTTGCAATGAGCCCTAAAGCTGAGCCACTGCTGCTGCTTAAAATCCTCTAAACACTGATATTCTGCAGTCAATTGCCGAAGTAAACTTGAATGCTCTCCTTCAATGTTTTTGTCTTTGCTACTGCCAATTTCAATAAGAGACTGAATTGTCTCAGTTAACCAGCTCTGGTGCAGTATAAAGGCTTCATTTGCAGTAATGTTAGGAAGCTTAGGAGCATGTTGAGGAAGGAGCCTAGGTTCTTTAAAATGAAGTTTAATGAGTTTGTGTGAAAATGATTGATGATGATGGTCAGGTTCAGAATTGATTGAAGAAATAAGTTTTATTGCATGAGTTGTGCTACTCTGGCACTGAAAACAAGTCTAAGAAAAAAATATGCATTGTGAGGAGGAGAGAAAATACACCACTCTCTAACAAGTCAGCTTGTGACTTAGTACCAATCAATCCAGTCTCCTAATACAATATTCAGGCTAGCAGTCTTGATTATGTATCAAATATAACTCACAGTGATTATTGCTGATGGGTTTTCAGTTCCGTGGTCCTGCTGCCAAACTGGTATTGAATGGTTGTTTGGCTTGTCTGATGCAATTGTAGATGTAAGTATCTTGACCTGGGTGTTCTTTTTGTTCTTGGCATGTTGCTTTGATAGCCACTGCTGGTGCTTCATTTTATGTCTAGACCACGTACTGGAGATGAGCATTTGACCCTCCTTGTTATTGCCGTCATGGTCAACACAAGTATATTTTTTGCATTGATAACAAGAACACAGCTTCCTATCTTGAACCATGCAGCAATAGAAGTGAAATCAGTGAGTTGTTGTTGTTGTAGTAGTAGTAGTAGTTCAAGACTGACCATGGCCATCATGATCCTTGTGACAGGTCACACTGTCACATATGATGGACTTGATGATCATGACATTGACAAGACCCGGAGTTGCAATAACCTACAACCAGTACTAAGAATATAATCTGTCAGTGTTGGTCTATCATGATATATAACTTCAAGTCTTGAAGCTATCAACTTACCTTCTAATGTACCCTCAACTTGTTGCACAAGGCCGGACTTATTACAGCCAATTGCAGTCAAGGATGGGACAAAGGACTTTGAAGCTGGGGTGGTATATATAAGTACTGAAAGCTGGCATGCATGATGGTAATTGTTCACTTACATCTTCTAGAATTGGACCAAGATGGTGGTTATAACGCGTAGCCAGGCATATAAAATTATGGAACAGGTCAGTGTTGGTTTAGTTCCCTCCAATGGTGAGTGATGTTGAATGACCCTCCATACCTAGGTGGCACTTCAGAAAATTGTTCAGGTATCCTTTACCCCAAATTGTTTTGTCCTCTGAACAAAGTCCCTCCATGCAGCCAATTATCTTCATGACATGCACAGACTTCCTCAATTCCTTTCTTGACGCCATTCCATTCAATGATAACCTTGCAGCGGGTGTGCAGCTATTATACATTGCCTTTCATGGTACACTCCCCTCCATTTCAAAGCTTCGACAATTTTTGCTTGCTGTCAAAAACATAGCAGATTTAGAGCTCCAACTTCCACGTGCCTTGGTTGCCAATTGGGATTGCTTGTTATAAGGCATTCATTTTCCCAAGCTTGAGCTCCTGCATACAGATTGTCCTCCTTCCAGCCTTGCTCTCTTTCTTGCCACACACTTTCATGTCACCCACTTGGCTATGTCAGGTCGGAAGTACCAAGAGAAGAAACATGGCGTACTGATTGATACTTGTTTGCCTATTTTGTCTGGAATAGAAGGCCCCTTGTTGTGTGTAGCCAGTCTGGTACAGCACAATCCTGTTGGTCAGGTAACAGCCTGCTATGTTAACCATGCAGACCTTTGTTTGCCTGTGACTCACCTCCTGGCATTGCTGTCCACTTCAACAGCGGCTCTGATGGTCCTTCAATTGGACTTTGATCCAACAGATTACAACCTTCTTCGTTGAATAGCCAGTGCTGCCCCGTTGGTTGAATTGTTGAAGCTTGTGGAAAGGACTAACATTATATCAGTGCATGTTTTCCTCCCTGTTGTTGCCAACCACCCTTATCAGTCTCTACAGACTCATACACCTCACATTTGTAGAGCTTGGAATTTCTACTGTGAATACCTCACTCAACTCAAATGGTTACATCATTTTGTACTGAAAACTTCAGTGTCGGTGGTTCGACATTCAGGTTCTGAAGAAGATGAAAGAAGGTTGCTAGGGCAGTGGGGACTTGGATCTGTTCAGTGTAGCTTCCGGCACATCACCCTGTGGTATCTCACCCAGTTGGAGACAAGCATATTGTGCTACTGGGTTATGATAAATGGAAGCTGGATTGAAACTGGAGGTTTTGTGGATCCTCCAATGGGCACATTTGCTTGATCCCATCATAAACCCTCAAACCTATGCTATACCTCCACAATATCTTTCAGCTGATCAAAGCTGTAGTATTTATTCATTGCACACCTGTATATTAAATTCCATGATTTTATAACTCTTTATCAAGGACCGTGTAGTCTACATCTATGATATCCAGCTTTGCCCTTGGCCATTCGCGCAAGTTACCCAGCCAGCTTTGATCATAACAATTTTGCCATGAGCCACACGGGGTGTGCTCTGGCTCGGAGTGTTGAGATGCTATCCGGACACAGGGAGGATTCCCTGGTGTGGAACGGCAACCATGTGTAGATGTGATCTAATTTTTGCATAAATGCCTTCAATTCTTGACTCTGCCAATGTGGCCTAGTAATGAGATATCTCTCCGGGGCTCCTTGCACATCTTGGTCTGTTTTGTCGCCGCTCATTGCCGTAGCTTGAAGGAGGGGCAATAGAGTATTTTCATGGTGTAGCAGGGTTTCCCTTGATTGACAAGCCTTAAATCAAGCATCCAAAAGCTAAGTTAGAGGGAATAGCATTGCATCAGCAAATTCAAGGTATATGTACAGTACACCCACTGTGATTTTGCAAGAGTTCTGAGCTTTATGCTGAAGTCCCTCATTGCACTTCTGGAGTGAAATTGGGATCGCTATTTTTTGATATGCCCGCTGAACATACCCAATGTGACTTTCAAGCAAACACCTAACTTTTTCTTCAGTGACAAACTCTGCAAGAATGCCATATTGTTTCAAAAACCCACCCTGCATGCAAAACATGAAGTGCTGGATAAAACAGTGTTCAGCTGCTTGATTAAAACTGAATTTCTTCCAGCCACAGCTCAGATCAACGCGAAACATTTTTGCTGTGATTTTTAAAGCGTCTTTCTTGCTGTTTTCGAATTTTACCATTTCTTCATCAGTCAGAGGTGGTGGTAGTTTGGTAAGTTGTTCAGATTTTAACAAGCTGAGTTTCAGAAGGCGTTTGAGTAGATCACAAACACATCTCTGTTTCAATGAATGTGAGATGATACAGAAAACCAAATACTAATTAAAAGGATGTACCCCCAATACAGGCCACAAAGGGCTTGAGGTATAGTCATTTTCCTTCTTATCTTCTGGCTGAGACTGAGTTTCACTCTCATTGTCACCTTTGTTACCATCAGAATCGATAATTTTTTGTTGCAGTTTCCTAGTCTAACTAGTCGGTTTCATTACAATAACCATTGTGGGCGAGGCTGAGCCTGTTGTGATGTCTTGTTCTAATTGTGCCATACCCTATGCTAATATATCCATCACACAAATGATTTTGTTGAATTTATTAGAGACATTGTTGAGTCCTTCGAGAATCATTGCCATATAGGGCCCTTCATTTTCTTGGTCCTTGGGAGTTGGAATGGATCTTCCTTGTGTGCCTAACTATGATACTAGTTAGTAAATGAAGGCCATAACAAGAAGACACTGCCACTAACAGACACTGTGCAGATGGCTGTTCACGGATGAGTTTCACATAGTAAATGTACAAAAATTCCCTGACCTTTTCTGTTGCTGAAAATTGGCCTTGAGCATAACCCATATCATGAAAAGTGCCATAAGGTGCATTGGCTGGAGTTGTAGAACTTGACAAAACCGGATAAACCCGGTCTCTGCCAAAGCAGCCATTGTTCTCCATGGAGCATAGCCACCACTCCATGGAGTAACCATTGTTCTCCTAGGAGCACAATTGTACTCCTAGGAGTTATTATACTGTAGCGAGTAGCACCTCCGACTATAAGTAGTAGGTGGTTTAGTATAGGAATACCTCAGTCGTTTCTATAGCCTCTTGGGCAGCGGCTGAGGTATGTTACATTACATTTATTAGAGATCACCTTAAACCTCAGTCGTTTCTATAGCCTCTCGGGCAGCGGCTGAGTTTCACTTAGTTTTATTAGGTTATGAGCCCTGGTGCGCAAAAGCTACACAGGAAATAATTCTTATTTGAAACGGCAACCTCGGAACCATGACCACAGCACACGATACATCCGCATGTCCAGTTCTCACTGGACCCAACAATTTTCAAATATGGAAACTCCGGGTCATCTCAAAGCTACATCGGGAAAAAGTTCTCTGGGTTGTTACCGGAGAGGAGCTTAAGCCCTCACCAGGAAAACCTACCTCCTCAGAGGATCCTGAGATCACCTGGATACTTAAGGATGAGAAGGCACATGGAATCATCCAGGACCACATCTCTGATGCTCTCCTAATGAGGACTGGAGACCTCACCAGCTCCAAGGAATTATTTGATAAACTTGTCTCACTCCATCAGATGTCCAACATTGCCTCAGCCTTTTATTCATTCCAGCAACTCACCAAATTGTCCTGGGATGGGACATCACCTATCCAGGACCACATTGCAAAAATCCGGACAATTGATTCACACCTCTCCGGAATGAAACTAGGAGTTGATACCAAACTCATGGCCTTCGCTCTTCTCCAATCTCTCCCATGCACTCCTGAATGGCGAATATTTCAGTCATCAGTAATCAACACGATTGAAGAAAATAAACTTACCTTTGATGTAGTTGAGATCCGGATCACTGCAGAAGTTGCACGACAGTCAGGGAAGGCCCCTGGAGGTTCCGAATCAGCACTCAAATCCGAGGAGAAATGGTGTAACTTCCACAAAGCCAAATCACACAACACCTCGGAGTGTCAAACACTTCAGTCAGCCAGAAAAGGTCAAAGGAAGAAGGAAAAGGCAAATACGGTGGAGCAATCATCTGGATCTGACTCCGAGGAGGAACAGAGTCACATTGCATTGGAACATGTACATATTTCCAAGCCCCTTGCTAAACACATTCAAGCTTACCTTGTGTCGGAACCCGATAAGACCAAAACAACAATTATTATTGACTCCGGAGCAACATCCCACATGGTCCCTCACCGCTCCTGGTTTGAGCCAGGAACATACCATGTTCTGCATCCTCCGAGGACAATCAGTTTTGGGGATGAATCCTCTGTAAATGCCATTGGCATTGGAACAGTAATCCTACAAGCAACTGTTGGCAAAAAGGACTACAATATTGCACTGTCAAATGTCTTACTTGTGCCAAACTTCACGTTAGCACTCATCTCTGTCCACAAATTATCCAAAACGGGGTTATCAACACTTTTTCCCGCAGGGTCAAATGCTTGTGAAGTTCAGAAAAAGGAGGAACTTATCCTCACTGTGTTACACAAGCGAGGACTTTATCACATCCAAGCAAAACCTGAAATCAACCCGGAGTCAGCTTTTGCAGCAGTAGACGTAAATTTATTGCACAGGAGAATGGGACACATTGGAATGGACCTCTTGCAACGAATGGTTACAAAAAGACAGCTCCAGGACATAGACACCCTTACCGGAACCCCGGAGTTTTGTGAACCTTGTGCTTTAGGAAAGATGAAGAAATTACCTTTCAAGTCCACTGGAGGAAACCGAGCCAAGTGCCCCATACAAATTGTGCACACAGATGTTGGAGGACCAATCAAACCAACTTCCAGGGAGGGTTTTTGGTACTGGATTATCATTGTAGATGATTTCTCCAAATTTCCATGGATATATTTCCTAAAACATAAAAGTGAAGCACTGGAACAATACAAGCAATGGAAAGAAGATGTCCAAACATTCTTCCGGACTCATTTGGGAGAAAACTTCACTCCACTATACACAGAATTCCTCTGGAGCGATGGGGGAGGAGTATATACTTGCAATGCATTCAAAAATCAACTCCAAGGAGATGGTGTCATCCAAGAAACTACAGCTGCAGATACTCCGGAACAAAATGGCATTGCAGAATGCATGAATTAGATATTTGCTACATTAGCAACCACTATGCTCCATGATTCCAAGCTCCCAAAGTCATTTTGGGTAGATGCCATGCAAACAGCTGCATATATCACAGCACGCAGCCCAGCATCAGGACTCCATGGAAAGACCCCATATGAAATACTGTTTAAAAGGAGAGTTGATCCAACTTTGTTTCGCCCTTTCGGATGCCAAGCATATGCCTTGATTCCAAAAGACAAAAGGCAAGGGAAGTTTTACTCCAAGGGGCGCAAAGCCATAATGATTGGCTACACACATGGAAAGCAAGCCTACAAACTCCTAGACACTGAAAAACGGACTGTGTTTTCCAGTCGGCATGTCATATTCAATGAATCCGGAAAGGTACAAAAGGATGACACTGCTCCCTGGAACACAGACACTAGCACAGATCAGTGGGAGGGACTCATTCCAGAGAATGCTCACTATCCAGACCAAAAAACATTGGAGGAGGATGATCCTGACCCTCGGATCCGAGATCCAAATGAATTACAAATGGAACCACATCTCCAAGGAGATGTTCCACAAGCAATGGAACCATATCAGCATGAAGATGTTCCGAGAGCAGTGGGGCAATACCTCCGTGGAGACGTTCCGAGAGCAGTGGGAGCACCTGATCAGCTAAGACACCCTCCACAACAGTCTCTACAACCAAGACCTGAACACTGGCCATCTTCAGAACAGAAAGCCAAAGTAGAGTTACAGTCAGTGGGAGGACAGCCCTCAATATACAGCCAGCTGATGTGGAAAAAGTCCGAATACAGCTAGACAGCCTGTCCATTGGATCAGCTTCTGGAAGGCATACAACACCTCCAAGGAGTCGTCCAACACCTCCAAGGAGTGATTCAACACCTTCAGGAGTGAGTGGGGCAACAAATACATAAATGTGTCTACTCCCTGGAGTACCTGCACAAGTTCCTAAAAGAGTAGTCATGCCTGCTGAAGTCCTAGGAGTACGCAGAAGCAGTCGCCAGACCCGTCCTGCAGACAAAAACCGAGATTATCAAATGACTCTAGATGAGGAACAGTCTCAAAAAGAGCAGTATGACAACTCCAAGGAGAAACCTAACACTCCTGAGGTTCATGAAGAAACATCTGATACAGAGGAGACATTCTTTGCTGGAATAGCAAGTACCGGTCCATCTAACACAGACCTTCCAAGGACACTAAAGGAAGCCTTATCACGTCCGGATGGAGAATTATGGAAGTTTGCCTTGGAGGAGGAACTCCTCAGTCTCAATACTAATGCAGTATATGACAATGTTCCACTTCCAAAGGGAGTAAAACCCATCATATCAAAACCTGTGTTCCGGATCAAGTTTGATCAAAACAGAAACATTGAGAGATACAAACTCCAGATTGTTGCACGAGGTTTTACTCAAAGGGAGGGGATTGATTACCAGGAGGTTTTTGCTCCGGTTGCAAACTTAGAGTCAAGCCGAATTATTCTAGCCCTGGCAGCAAAGTACGACCTAGAACTTGATCAAATGGACGTATCCACAGCTTATCTCAATGGAGAACTTGAAGAAGAACTGTACATGCTTCCTCCAGGGGGTGTTCCTATCCAACCTGGATACTGCTGGAGATTGAAGAAATCCATCTACAGATTAAAACAAGCTGGTCGTACATGGAACAAAACTTTTGATCGCAAGCTCCAGGAGCTCGGTTTCACAAGACTACATGCAGAAACATGTCTCTATGTATTCCGGGGCAACAAACAAATATGCTTTGTTGTTGTCTATTTAGATAACCTCCTCCTAGGAGCTTCATCCCGGAAATTCATGGATATCACAAAAGCCAAACTCGAATCCATATTCAAAATGTGGGACCTTGGAGAAGCAAAATACATCCTCGGAATAGAAATCCAACGTGACCGTTCAAACAAAACAATATCCCTATTGCAACGCCAATACATTGACGCAGTCCTGGAGCGTACTGGAATGAAGAACTGCAAACCAGTATGGACACCAATGGCCCATGGATCAAAACTCCTTGCAAATGCTCCAGGGGAAGATATTGTGCAACACGAGATGCATATTGAAGGGCGTCAAGTGTCATACCTCTCAATTGTAGGCTCCCTCATGTATGCCATGCTTGGAACCCGCCCAGACATTGCCTACGTTGTTGGAATACTAAGCAGGTATAGCTCAGCTCCAAGGAGCCATCACTGGGAAGCTGCAAAATGTGTCCTCCGATATCTGAAAGCAACCAGGGACATGGAACTACAATATGATGGCACAGATGTCTCCATGGATATTCAGATGCAGATTGGTCTGGAGACCCAGACACGTCTCGATCAACATCAAGGTTTGTCTTTATCACCATCCGAGGAGCAATCTCCTGGACAAGCAAAAGACAAAGCATGGTAGCTTTATCCTCCATGGAGTCAGAGTACATTGGATTGAGCAATGCTGGACAACACCTTGCATGGCTTTGGACATTTTTTGAAGAAATTGGACATGCTCAAAATGAACCTACAACATTGCACTGTGACAATCAAGCAGCTATCATTCTTACACGAGATCCACAGTTCCGTGCTCGCACAAAACACATTCAAGAGAAATATCATTTTATCCGAGATGACTTAGTATCAAAGGGAGAGGCAGTAATCAGATATGTTCCTACAGGAGATATGGTTGCAGACATTCTCACTAAACCCCTCACTCATGAAAAACACTGGAAATTCTCTAAAGCTATGGGACTATGGTTGCACTCGAGTGGGAGTGACAAAACTGGATAAACCCGGTCTCTGCCAAAGCAGCCATTGTTCTCCATGGAGCATAGCCACCACTCCATGGAGTAACCATTGTTCTCCTAGGAGTCATTATACTGTAGCGAGTAGCACCTCCGACTATAAGTAGTAGGGGGTTTAGTATAGGAATACCTCAGTCGTTTCTATAGCCTCTTGGGCAGCGGCTGAGGTATGTTACATTACATTTATTAGAGATCACCTTAAACTAACATCTATTGTAGTTTCACTTAGGTAAATAATAAAGTCGTTTCTATAGCCTCTCGGGCAGCGGCTGAGTTTCACTTAGTTTTATTAGAACTTGAGTAGACACCATAAGGCTGCAGGAGAAGAGAGAGTATGGTGAGTAATATTACTATAGATACATGTCTGCCAGCGTACATGGTATGGAACAGGGTAGAAGCCACCTTGATTATAGGGGATTGCAACTTGGCCCGCATGTTTCCCAACACCTGTGGTTGCATAGATAGTTGACTATTGTTCTAAACATATATCAGTAGAGCTTGAAGTCACATCATAAAGCATGATATGGACATACATATGCACTCATGGTTGCCAATAAATTAGCCCTGCCTTGAGCTCCATTCATCCAGGGTAGAACTTGGCTGTTTGGTTGTGGTTGCAGTTGTGGTTGTGGTTGCGGTTGAGGCTGTGGTTGCTGTTGCTGTTGCTGTTGCAGTGGAAGTTGAGGTTGAGGTTGAGGTTGCAATTGAAGTTGAGGCTGCGGTTGCGGTTGCAACAAGCCAGAGTCAGATCAATCAATCAAAATCCGGTTAAACATACATTTGGAATAGGATTAATAGGCTGCCATGTAATGGACTGTGGATGAGTCAACAAGATGGTTAAGCATTGACAAATTGTTGAGAGGTTGTGATATTACCTTGTTGCTTGCAATTGTGCCTGGCAATGTGGCTTGCTCTGCACTCTGTGGTGGCTGTGGTGTGGCCTCCGTTCGGGACACAACTGTGGTTGGCAGATTAAGATTTTTATAGACCACTTGAACTTTACGCGAGGGCAGACCTTCAGGATTATTATCATCATGTGGTCTTTTGGATGGAACTTGTGGACTGGAGTCAGAGTCAATAGCATGAGGGGGTGGGCAATCTTTCCATAAGGCAAGCGCAAGAGCATTTTCATCATTTTCATGATCATTGGGCGATGTGGTGGATGGTTCTAGCTGACCGGTTTTGGGGGTTGTGCTATGCAGCTCCTTGAGCAAAAAGGTGGTAGGATCCTCAGACATAGTGAAGAGGTGGAAGCGGGAATGAACTTACCAAAACCCAAGCATGTTATATATTACTCCCGAGCCTAACAAAGGCATAATTATTTTGTCAAAACCTCTTAGACTGCGCTACCTGAATTAAAGAGAGCTGTGGCATAACCATGTGCTGAGTACAAGGGTATTTCTGCATTAATGTCAAGCCACGTGTATGATGAATTAACGTATCAGGCAACTACCAGACATACACTTGCGTCACTCAGACCTAGATCAAGGCAAGATACAACACGTGTATCCACTACCTTGTCCGCCAGTTCTAGCCTGATGGGCTTCATTGTGAACCTTCACACTAACTGTATACAGCTCCTCCTATTGATGCACGACCACCATCGCTGCAAAAATGTGGAAGATAGCGCTGTAGCTTCCTCTCGGTGTGTAGTAGAAGAACATCCTAGAGGAATGGGTAGTCTGCAAAAGGTGAGCAAGATGGCATGCACTATGTGACAAGTTTCAATATAACATTCTTTGTTTGATAGATGTCCAGTTTGCTTCCTAGAGTAGCCATGGGTATGTTTAATGTAGATTTTCCATGGGAGTTAGTGCTGATGATTGCAAGAGACAAAAAACAGATAGTTTCATTTGGGACTTGACAGAAAGCTATATTCAACAATAGTGATGACGCGGTTGCACACATTCTGCAACCATAATGCTAAACACAAAGTGTCTATCACCCAGTGGTCACTATATCTTTATATTGCATTAATTGGGCTCACGTTGGCGGTATTTGTGTCATTCCTAATTTGGCAACCTCCAAAATCACTCCTGATTTTGACGCCGCCATGGATCAGCTGTGACAGGGGGGAAAACCTGTCTGACATCATGATGGACTATCAAGAATGCATGGAATTACTCGAGAATGCCTCTAAAGATACCGTGGCCCACATTACACATCTTGAAGGTCACATTCACACTATCCTCGCCAGGCAGGAGAGTATTTCCACGGAAAGTGCAGAGACAATGGAGAGCCTAGCACACTTAGAACAAGCAATTCAGAAGTTAGAGATATTTATGGCATTGTCAGACGAGTTGTTTTGAAGCACATACGTACAATTATCAAAGCACTACGTTGCCAAAGAGGATTTTGCTCTTAAATTGGGAGGAGCGCAAGTGGTAAAAATCACCTCACTGTTGTATTCATCAGGGTCAGTTTGGCCATTCGGTAGGGCGTCCAAATGCCGTTGCCACAGTCCAGACATTGCATTTAACTAATAAACCTATGTGAAACTCAGCCGCTGCCCAAGAGGCTATAGAAATGACTATATTATTTACCTATGTGAAACTACAATGGATGTTAGTTTTAAGGTGATCTCTAATAAATGTAATGTAACATACCTCAGCCGCTGCCCAAGAGGCTATAGAAACGACTGAGGTATTCCTATACTAAACCCCCTACTACTTATAGTGGGAGGTGCTACTCGCTACAGTATAATGACTCCTAGGAGTACAATTGTGCTCATAGGAGAACAATGGTTACTCCATGGAGTGGTGGCTATGCTCCATGGAGAACAATGGCTGCTTTGGCAGAGACCGGGTTTATCCAGTTTTGTCATTAACAAGGACTTGCGCGTGGGATCTTGTTGAGAGGTAGAGGGAACATCATTGCAACTGGGCATTGCATTGTTGGAGCCAATCACTATCACTGAGATTAGTATTGATCACATCACACAAGAATTAACTCATGAAGTAGGGCTCACACCAAAAAGCATCATAGTTTGGGGTGCTGTTGATGGGAAAGAAAACATTGCGAAGTTGTCATGCTTTGGGGAAGAGGTCAGCGGCAAAGTCAGGGAATTATGGATGGCAAAACACCGCCCACTTATCAAGAACGGCCTGGAATTCATCCCACTAGCATCTATAACATATGACTTATACTCAGAAAGCCACATACAGATGTTCCCTGTCTTTGATTTTGTTTGAGACTTGGAGATGGACTTTGATATTGTGGTTGTAGAACTACTCAATAGCTGGGGGAGTTCATCACATGTATGCCTGTATCGGGTTTGTGTCCATGGGAAGCGGCAAGATATTGACTCCTAGGAACAAGTGAGGAGTCAGATAGAGTGAAGCAGCAATGGTGTAGAGGAAGCATACTGCCAGTGACAACTGCAACTATGCTGCTGTCAGAGCATGGGTTTAGGACCAATAATTACATAACTATCTTTTTTCTGATGTGCCAAAATGCCGGAGAGAAGAGAAACTCAAATATCAAAATCTGAAGCAATATGCTGATCATGAGTGCACAAATTGAATCTCACTCAGATTGGCTCCACTCTAATTGAGTTTGAATGGGACATGTTCAGGCCATAGTGCTGAACGCCATACATATGACTACTCCAGATCTTTGCCTTGGCAGCATGTCTCTTCGGTACAAACCTCAGTGGCAATTTCAAGGAGAGCACACAAACACTATATCTTGTTTGGCACTCTTACAAAAAATGTCTTTAGTATTGAGGTGCCATGCAAGAGACCCAATTGGTAACAACCCCGGGAGCACAAAATTAGGCATGCCCGGGCCCTTAAGTCTTTGATATAGGGGTCCCTTGTGTACAAAGGACACCATCAAAAGCTGGAAATTCAACGCCACCAATGCCTGAACAAGGATAATAGTGGAAAAGGAGGGCTTGTTTTCAGTGTTGGTGCTCCATCTGTGACAGAGAAAGTAAAAGAGAGAGAGTACAAAGACAGATCTGTTTGACCTGGGTATACCAAAATTCAAGTAGACAATTGTATTGCTATATATAAACATATACCTAAAAATGTCTCATGGATACCTCAAAACAATCACACTTCATCTCAGAAACCTATTGTGCTCTTTTCCACTTGTCATCATGTGCACCAGCCAGGTCATCTTCAACAAGCAGACTCTTGCCCAGCCAAGTAGTCTAGGATGGGCAGCCTCTCACCCAGCCGGGTTGTCCAGGATGGGCACAACAATATCACATCTAACATGGCCTGGCTGGTACACTCTGCCGGAATCTGCTGGCCCCATCTATATAGTAATATTATCCACATGGTTTTGCAAAGGTTGCAAAGTGGATGATGGGAGTTTTGGACATGATGCTAAAGCCAGTGTGTGTGTAAATAATGTGTTACATGATAAAATACATTGTTTGTTGGTGCTTTGTTAGTAAGGGGGGTTATCCTAGGTGGGCAAAATATGTATCCAAAGCACCAAGGAGAGGAGAATGGTACACCGCTTATTGAAGAGCTCTTCTCTCACCACTAAGAGCAATTGCTCATTGATGCTAGTGAGGTAAATCAGGAAAAATGGGGCTAGCTATATAGAGCTCCATAGCATTATAAGTACTCATAAAGCTGTTATAGTGGTCAAACCTGTTATAGAACCTCTGCCATCTATAGAGCCTTATATAGCTCTGTAAATGCTCTTATAGATGTTGGAAATTGTTGTGTGGCTAATAAAATAAATTAACACAGACAGGATTTAAACTCTCAACCCTGCTATTGCTACTCAGCTTTTGGGTAACTAAGCAACCTATAGCCACACATCACATTTATCCACTACACCATGAGAGCTTATAAATGTATTATACAGGTGTTATATGTAGTGAGTATCAGGGATACAAACTACTATTTCACTAATACAGGCTACATAAATAATTAATACTGTATGATTTATGAGCCCTTTTAAGCACCTGGAACTATATTATAACTATGACCTTTACAGCTATGGGAGCTATGTAGGCTGCTATAGGCTAGAAGAGCACTTATAGTATCTTGCCTATAATAATATACTTGACTCCAAACACTTCTGGCCTCTTTCTATTATTGAACAAGTTTGTTAGATTAATCCAGAGTTTGAGGGAATTATAGATACTTCTCCCCTTGGTTAAAATTTTGCCTACTACTGTGGTACTATAGTTTCTATGAATGCATTTATATATATAGGTGGTGGCTATATAGCAAAAGGGTTTTTCCTGATGCTCCATAGCCCTTCTAGAGGCCAGGAATTCTAATTTCTCATATATCAAGTATGCATCCACCACCTGTTTGACTTTTAACTCTTCTTCACCTTCCTGGGTGACTACAACCAGTCTGGGCTGGTCTATGCACTGTCCCGGCAGCAGTCCTTTGTAGAGTATCACCTAGCTAATATTAACTATGGGTGTTACGATCTCTATTGGACATTTAAGGACTACTCATTTCTTTTTACTCATCGGTTATACCATCGGACCGATGACTCATTTCCTTCACGTACACTTCCGTTCCTCTCGCATTCACAGTACCTATTATAGTACTTAGTCCTCAACAGACGGACCTGCCCTAGATAGGACCTAACTCCTATCACCAATTCCTTTCCATTATAAATACCATGTAACAGCAGTAGTATTCTCTAATACAATTCTACGCAGTTTACGCTTACAAAGCTAGACTCCTAAGATCAGACTTCTACTCAGAAGAAGACCAACTCTCGTTGGAAGACCTCCACTCAGAACTACGTTCTCGAACTTGTCTTCGGATAAGTCTCTTTATAAAACCTCGACGAACCCTCAGACTTTGTTAAGCACTTCGTGCGTAACAAAAGAATCGTATTCTAACCAGAAGTCCCACCTATTTAGGTTTGGGAAGAAAAAGTCGACAAGACGTCGCAACGACCAACAACCAGATCCCAGAGAGCAAGAGGAAGCTCAGACAACCCACAAACAACAACCCCACCGACGTCATCCCGACAAGAAAGGATAGCAGCACCACCTCCCTTTCCCCAACCAGACGTAACCCAACTCCACACCAGAGAACAAGCAGACGCTTTCTACGAAGCCAGAACACGTTGGCTACAGTACTACGCAGGAAGCCACCCACAGCTACTGCCCACAACACAACACAAACCCCCAGTAACCGTAGAAAACCTCTACGACGAGAACAACTTTGAAGAGTTTGCAGCAGGCGGCGACCCGGTACCACCTCCCACTCCACAGATACTCCCCGCCGCACCTGCTCCATCCCACATCCCACCACCACACACCATGTCTAACGCTGCAGCCCCCAAACCCACAATGATCGGGAAAATTGATGACTTCGATGGAACCCCAGATAAAGCCCAAAGGTGGATATTGTCCACCGATCTACACTTTGATATCAACGACACCATCTACAACTCCGACAAGAAAAAGGTATATGTGACCCTCAGCTACATGAAGGACGGCAATGCCGCCTCATGGAGCGAAGCCAAGATGACCGAATACAAAGAGAAGAATGCCTACCCCACATGGGCAGACTTCATGAAAACCTTCACAGCCAGTTTCAGAACGGCAAATGTCAAAGGAACGGCCTCAGCCGCCTTGATGAAAATGAAGATGGAACAAGGAGAAAATGCAGTAGCGTTTAACTCAAGGTTCATGCTAGATGCTGGGAAAAGCGGCATCAACAACGAAGCCATGATTATGGTTTATCAAAAGGCTATTTGGCCACCCCTCCTTCGTGGGGCACTCACCGGAAAGGAACTACTCACCATCAAAGACTGGATGAGCACAGTAGCAAACCTAGACGCTAACTGGATCAGTTCCAACGCTATCTCGGAAGGAGCGTGGGGCGCCAGAAACAAAGAAAGACAGAACAACAGAAACTGCAAAAGTGGACCATCCACCAGCACCAGAAGATTAACCAAAGACGAAGAAGAATCAAGGAGGAAAGAGGGAAGATGCTTCATATGTAACGAGAAAGGACACATAGGAAGGAATTGTAGGAACAAAGGAAAAACTCCCGAAAGAAAGGTACGTCAAACCGAAACGGAAGATGACACCAAAACAGTGGTGGAAGAAGATAAGGTCCAAAACATCATGAGGATGTGGAGGGAGTTGGGAGAAGATCAAAGAACAGAGGCAATGAAAGAGTTGGAAGACGAGGGTTTTTGAAACGATAGACTACCCCGATGTTAGTACTGTCGAAAATGGCAACTGTAACAATAGCAACAATCAACGCCAACTCTTTATGAATCGATTGCTCGTTGAAACAGAAAACCATCGGAACCAAAGCCCTGATAAATTCAGGAGCTACAGATGACTTCATGGACACCAAATTCGCCATCAGACACCGACTCCCCCTCCAAAAACTCCCAACTCCTATAACATGTAAAAATGTTGACGGAACCACGAACAAAAACGGAAAAATTATGCATTGCACCTATCAGAGGATAGATGCAGGAGGACAAAACAGGTTCACAAAGTTCCTATTGACCGGACTAGACGGAGAAGATGTATTAGATTTCCCTGGTTACGAAAAGTCAATCCTGTCATTAACTGGAAAGATAAGGAATTACCAAACTCGGACAAACACTCCATCAGGATGAACCAAACAACCACGGAAACAAAAATCAGGACAACAGCAGTAAACGAAGACGTGTATGAAACCATTCATAGATACGTATCCGACCAAACACCCTATCCTCGAACCACAATTCAATTAAAGATCAACTCTGCAATGGAACACGCGCAAATACACGGAGAAAAGAAGGAGCATAACCTCCCGGATAAATATAAAGGGTATTCGGACGTCTTTGACAAAAGAAGTCGGAAAAACTCCCCAAGCGACGGGAATATGATTATGCAATCAACATGAAACCAGAATTTGTACCAACAGATTGCAAATTGTACCCATTGGCACCAAAGGAAGACGAAGCAGTAACAGAATTCTCAACGGAAAACTACAGAAAGGGATACATCAGGCCGAGCAAGTCGCCACAGGTGTCCCCCTTCTTCTTCATAGGCAAAAAGGATGGATCACTCCAACCGTGCCAAGATTACAGAAAACTGAACGCACATACTGTGAAAGACCCCTATCCACTACCCCTGATACCCGACCTCATCAAAAAATTGAAAGGAGCCACCATCTTTACGAAACTAGATCTACGTTGGGGATACAACAATGTAAGGATAAAAAAAGGAGACGAATGGAAAGCTGCGTTTAAAACCAGCAAGGGAGTGTTCAAACCAACGGTCATGTTCTTCGGCATGTGCAATTCACCGGCAACATTCCAAAGGCTGATGAACGACAAATTCAAAGACTACATCGATGAAGGTTGGATGATCATATACATGGATGACATCCTCATCTTTGACACCAACATCGAAAGACTCCGACTCCGAACGGAACAGGTTCTACAAAGACTACGCGATAACGATCTATTTCTAAAACTAGAAAAATGCACCTTCAAGGCAGAAACCATCGAATACTTGGGAATGATTGTTTCCCACAATCAGGTATCAATGGATCCAGCCAAACTTGCTGGAATCCGCGATTGGCCAATCCCGAAAGACACCAAAGGCGTAAGGAAGTTTTTAGGTTATGGAAACTTCTACAGGAAGTTTATTGGTCATTACTCTGACCTTGCCAGACCCTTGAATGTCTTACTAGAAAAGAATAGGAAGTGGAACTGGACCCAAACTGAAGATGACACTTTCAAATTAATGAAACAAAAATTCCTCGAATCCCCCGTAACACAAATTCCCAACTCCTCGAAACCGTCAAAGATTGCTGCAGACGCCAGCAAACACGCCACAGGAGCTGTATTAATGCAACTTGATGACCAAGGACAATGGCACCCATGTGCATTTTTCTCCAAAACTCTATCCCCCGCCGAGAAGAACTATCAGATCTACGACAAAGAGTTATTAGCGGTAATGAGAGCTTTAAAAGAGTGGAAACACTTACTTTTGGGAAGCCCCCACATGATCCAAATCCTGACAGATCACAAAAACCTGACGTACTGGCAAGAAGCCAGGAAACTCACACCACGACAAAGAAGATGGCAGCTGGAACTGTCACAATACAATTACACCTTGGAGCATGTACCAGGAACCCACATGGTGGTACCCGACGCACTCTCAAAAAGACCTGATTTATACGTCGAAACAGAAGGAGATGATGATGACACGCCAATGATACCCGCCTCAGTGTTCCTGTATCACACACGAACGGTTAAAAACACAGTCGAGCAAGCCATGCTCACAAACGATAATTATCCAGGAAGAACGAAGAAAGACGATTGGAGAAAAGAAGAAGGACAGTTCTTTTATCAGAATAAATTACTGATTGACGAAGTAGAAGAACAAAAGACGATCATCAAAGATCACCACAATTCCCTGTCCGCAGGACACCCAGGAAGGCTCAAAACCTACCAGTTGATCAAAAAGGCCTATTGGTGGCCAGGAATGATGAAACAAGTGGAAGAATACGTGAAAGGATGCGCAACTTGTCAACAAGCGAAAGTAAACACGCATCCCACCACCGTACCATTAATCCCAAACCAGACCCCAAAAACCGCAGAACTAATGAAGTACCTATCTGTAGACTTCATAACTGATTTACCAGAATCTTCAGGATACGACAGTATAATGGTCATGGTAGACCAAGGACTTAGTAAGGGGGTAATCCTCTCACCTTGTCATATAACCATCGACGCACTCAAAACCGCACGAATCTTTCACGATTCCATCTTCAAATGATTCGGATTGCACGATAAACTCATATCTGACAGGGGACCACAGTTCGCCTCTGAAGTATCCAAAGAACTCCACAAACTCCTGAACATTGAAACCGCACTCTCCTCTGCATATCATCCCCAGACGGATGGACAAACAGAACGATCCAATCAAGAACTGGAGATCTACCTCCGCATATTTTGCCAGAACCAACCACACAGCTGGGCAAAATACCTTACTACCGCCGAATTCTGTCACAATCAAAGACCACACTCCACAAACAACCAATCACCATTCTACCTCCTCATGGGATATAAACCCAGAGGAATCCCGACTAAACACAGATCCACGTATATCCCATCAGTTGAAAAATGATTATCCAAACTACTTAGGGCAAGGGAAAATGCCCTAAAAGCACACGAACTCGCGAGAAGCAAGATGATGAAACAAAACAACGGAAAGTTCACGCAATTCTCCGAAGGACAAAAGGTGTGGTTAGAAAACACCAACCTGCGAGAAAAAGCCACCAAATACAAGAAGTTCAACATGAAATGCATCAGACCTTTCCGCATCCAAGAAAAGATTTCCCCGGTGAACTACCGACTATCCCTGCCTCCCCATTGGAGGATACACAATGTTTTCCACGCATCCCTTCTCACGCCGTATACGGAAACCAACACTCACGGCCCGAACTTTATCCGACCACCACCTGACCTGGTCAACGAAGAAGAGGAATACAAAGTAGAAAGTATTCTTAGACACAAACCCTGGAAATGCGGGCGCCGCTACCTGATTAAATGGCGCCATTACCCTCATTCCGAAAACTCATGGGAACTGGAAGAACATTTAACCAATGCTGCGGAGATATTGGAAGCCTATAAGAAGGACCACAAGCTGCGTTGAAGAGACAATCACCCCACTACCAACAATCCTCTGTCTCTCAACACAAAACATGTCTACTTCTAACTCCACCGGCTTCCCTATCACCACCTACTTGATACCCGGCGATGCCAACTTGCTAGCCGACGAACAAGTGTCTTTTGCCCGTGGGCAACGACACAACCAAGCCGACGTCACTGACGCCATAGAATTAATGTCAGCAAAAGACGCCTATACCTATCTCTTTTACGAGACCGAAAAATGCTGCCCCCATGCGTATCACGCTCTTTCTTCCATGCATACCTTCCTTGCCATAGACCTCATAGCTGACGAACTCCTAAAAGCCATAGACTCAATACATTCGTTGGAAAGCAAGCATTTGTGGCTCAACAGTCAGGACTTGAGTATCTGTCGGGCACTCCGGATGGAAAAGTTAGTTTTGGAATCTTTGGAACGACGCTTGAGGATGAGCTCCTTAAATGGGCAGATGGACTCGGCAAAGGAATATTTGGAATCAGGCGGGAGGACATTGCTAAACGAAGCTCGCACGCGGATAGAGCAAGACGGTTGTACGAGTACTCCTCCACGGTCCCTGTCGCACCCAGACCAGACCAGTGTTACCCCGGAGCGCACTTACCACATCATCACCCATCGACCTACGCCCATCCCATCGGAGGAAAAATATATTCCCACCATCCCAACCAGCCCGATCTCACAAGAGTCGAGCCACTCCAGTCCCTGTTCCATTGGGTCGAACCCAAAACCACCGTCTCCCCCATCATCTCCACCTCGACCAGTGCCAAACGCCCAAACCCGTTGCCTGACGAACTGACGAGGAGCCCGACGCGGCCGGAAAGAGGTGATACTCCAGATCCCCGCCGCCAGAACTCCATCAAAACGGCAGTCTCGTATGTCGAAGGGACAGAAAGACAGTCCGCCTGGCACAATGCACAGGCCTGAGACTGGCTCTCCCTCTAACCCAATCAACGTAGATGACAATGCAGCCATGATTGATCAGTTGTACACAGGAACGTACAACCTGGGAGATGACGATCCAACCACTCCCCAATCCGACACCTCATCCAACACCCGACGAAGATACCATAAAGGTGTTCGTAACAACGCTCCATACTGCCAAAACTGCGGTTGGAGCGATGATCGCACATACTATTGCGAAGCCTACTATTGCCCCGACTGTGACCGTCATGCACCGGGACGTAGTTTCAATTGGTGTCCCATCCGCAGGGAAGACGAGGATAGGATTCTGATGGAAGGATTACATGGAGATGTCAGCTACGACAACAGTTACAATATGGACAGCAAAGGTACCGAATTTCGGTGAAACTCGGAGCAAGTAAGGGGGTAATGTTACGATCTCTATTGGACATTTAAGGACTACTCATTTCTTTTTACTCATCGGTTATACCATCGGACCGATGACTCATTTCCTTCACGTACACTTCCGTTCCTCTCGCATTCACAGTACCTATTATAGTACTTAGTCCTCAACAGACGGACCTGCCCTAGATAGGACCTAACTCCCATCACCGATTCCTTTCCATTATAAATACCATGTAACAGCAGTAGTATTCTCTAATACAATTCTACGCAGTTTACGCTTACAAAGCTAGACTCCTAAGATCAGACTTCTACTCAGAAGAAGACCAACTCTCGTTGGAAGACCTCCACTCAGAACTACGTTCTCGAACTTGTCTTCGGATAAGTCTCTTTATAAAACCTCGACGAACCCTCAGACTTTGTTAAGCACTTTGTGCGTAACAGTGGGTACTACCTTCATTTGTTTTGGGAGCTCTAGCTTCACTGTATTGGGTTTGACTTCTTTAATCCGGTAAGGGCCAATCCACTTTTTGGTCAGTTTTCTAGACTGCTGATTTTTTAATTTTAAGTGGTAGGTGTCTAACCAGACCAGGTTGTTGACCTTGTAATCAGAGGCTTTAAAGTGTCTATGCTCTGCCCTGTCTTTCATCTGCTCTGCAGTTTTGAATAGCACATTGTGCATTTTGTCTAAGACAGACTTCATGTCTTTGACCATGTTCCCAGCAGCCTCGTTTTTGCTTTTTCCAGGTTCTACACCCATTCTGGGGAGGTACAACCTTGTAACCTTGAATGGTGCCTACCTTGTAGTCGACATTGGGCTCATACAAGTCAATTCCTACAGTGTTTTGTATTTCTTATATTTTTATTTTTATTTTTACCAGAATCAAGCACCCTAGCATCTGCCCCGCCGGAGTGCACCCCTGGGGAGATGCTGGTGCAGAGGCAGTACCACAAATATTATAATCACATTTTGTATACAAGTACATACTTCTGATAATAAATTAAGAGGTTTATTTACAAAATGGGGAGCCACCCCTTTTCCTTCATTGCCCATGCAACGCACTAGAGTAGGGCCCTTGTTCTGGTTTACTTCATTGTTTTGGGGAGTGAAGGCACTCAAGTGACCTAAGCTCCAAATTGTTTTTCTTAAGCCTTCATTTCAGCGACCTGTTAGCCATAAAACAAGGTTCCGATCCCATCATACAAACAACCGGCTAAAGTATTGAGCCAATCATGCAGCTGCTCATTTTCTATTTGGCTCACCTGCCACCCTTTGTTTTGATTTTTGGCGGCCTGTACCCCATTTCTACAACCTTGGGACATGTGTCCCCCTTGGCTACAATTGTAGCAGTTGCCCTAGAATCTGTGCATCTGTCTGCCCTAGACCGTGCCAATATCCATAGGAGCACCCTGCCCTGGATGCAGCCCAAACAGCTTGAACCGTGAGAGTGATTTTGATGTTGGTTCAATGACCCAGGGCGCTTCTGGGGATAGGAATAATTTTTTTTGGGCATGTGGACGCGCCACTGAATTGCATGTTGTAGAGCTCCACAGCCCTACCAATCTTGCAGACTTCCTTTGCAGCCACTGCAAGATTCTCGGCTTCTCATATCTTGCAGATACATCAGGAAAACATGATTTTACTATAACTGGATAAACTTGAGTGTGATTGGGTAATAGACCAAATATAGCATTTGTGGCAAATAATGCACAATATATTGGCATAGAAACCACTGTGCTGCATTTATAGTACTATTATTGCAATTAAAGCAATCCAAATCCAACTAGATTAGCTCAAAGTAATTAATAGTTTAATCATAAAATTCAAGTAATGATAATACAACAAATGAGGATCTAACTTGTGGTGCTTATATTGCATGCCTAAACCAGCAATACCAAAGCCTATCTAGCAGAACTAATGTGGGCCATTACCAGAGTATTTGAGCATATTGTAAGGACCATTTTATTATTTTCTTATCTTCTCTATGTCTTGGTTCTCAAACACTTTTCCCATTATACCTCCAGCTCTGGGGCTAGAGGTATTGTTTGCTATTTTACTTCTCATAGCCCTCACAGGCTTTCTCAACCATTGCTACCACTTTATATCACAGATCAGAGACTGGGTATTGCTCCCAGCTAGCCAGCACAATGGGTAGGGACTGGTAGTAGGCATCTTGCCAACCAGCTCCAAGTCCCATCAGTGCCTGGATATACTAATAGACGCTTTAGTCAGGATCATACTTCATCATGAGGATACGGTTCCTGAACAGGCATGACAACACCTATTATTAGTACAACTCTCTCACCTGCTGATTAATCATTCAAAGTTGTACGATAGTTATTCTTTTTTCTTATTGGTTGATTTATTCCTCAGACCACTTTTTGTTTATTCCTCTTTCGATCTGAGGGACAGATGGTTAGCTATATAAACCCTACACATCTCATGTATAGTTTTTTAGCTTTCTATTACTTGATTTACCCGCTTTACTCCTCAACCAAAATCCTTGAGTTTACTCCCAAGTTCTCTACTTGCTGTAACAACCAAGAGTTAGTTACTCTGGCGCACACAGGAACACACTATAAAGGTAGTGAATAGAGAGTGGTTACCCCTTAGGCTGCAGAGAGTTTGTTGGTTAACAACAGGAGGACTTGCTGAGGAGTCTCCTTGATCTATTGGGGTATTTATACTAATACAGATTGTTTGTACCTATGTACTGTACAGTTGATAAAAATAGTGGCTGATGATGTCAGAGGGCACAGCCCGTGTGACCAGCTCCACTGTGTGAGGGAGTTTGTGTCTAAAGAAGACTAAAGGCAGCGCTGCGCGAGAAGGTGGAGTTAGAACGAAAAGGAAAGTGCCGCATGGCACAGAGTGTGAACTATAGTAAAAGGTTAAAGCGGAGAATGAAAATTAAAGGAAAGGTCCAAAAATTGTGTTATCGTAACAGCCGTTGGATTTTGTTGCAACACCATAAGGGTCTCTAGTGTATTTGAGGGGAGGTGGTTTGTTGGCAGTTCCGGACAAATGCCTTGAAAGGCCTTGAGCGCTGACGGCAATTGCTATGCATGACTTGGATGTAACCCAGTTTGAGCCATCCTTGGCTAGTTTGGGTACAGTTAAAGTGGTGGTAGAGGAATTATTATTACAACCAGGAGTTTGTATACTCTGGCGCACAACTCAGACAAAGCTATAAAGAAGTGAGGGGAGTGGTTACCCTTTAAATAGGACCGAGTTTGTTGTGGGTAAACAACAGGAGGACTCACTGAGGAGTCTCCTTGATCTATTGGGGTATATATACTACTACAGGTTGTTTGTACATGTGTACTATACAGTTGATGAAGGCAGTGGCTGATGATGACATGAGGCACAGCCCTTGTGACCAGCTCCACTGCATGAGATACTTGTAGTTAAAAATAAAGAAAGGCAGCGCGAGAAGGTGGAGTTTGAACAAAATGGAAAGTGCTATAACAACCAAGAGTTTCTTACTCTGGCGCACAACTCAGACAAGCAAAAGAGAAGAGAGAAGGAGGGATCACCCCTCAGGTTTCAACGGGTTTGTTGTGCTAGACAACAGGAGGACTCGCTGAGTCCTTCCCCATGTATTGCTCCTGTATATATACTAAAATACATGAGGTACTGTACAGTTGTAAATAAAGTTTAAAGTCCGATGTTTAGCATATGACCGGTCACATGATGAGTCTAGACATTGGTCAGGTGTTGTGTCACATGACTTGGTCATGTGACTATGAAAAGTCAAAAATGTAAAGTAAAGTAAATGGTCACATGACTGGTTATGTGACTTGGAAAAATAAAAGTAAAAGTGCAAAAAGTGAAGCGTAAGTAGGTACTGGTACGTCAATTGTAACAATCGCCATATGGCACAGTGTTTGAAAACTATAGAAGAAGTTTAAAGAGGAGAATGAAATTTAAAGGTCCAAAAATTGTGTATTGTAACAAATTATCTGGTAAGCTAGCTGGACTCATAACCTGTAATAATCCACAGTGGACTCAGAGAGTACAAAAAAGTAAATTGAACCAGCCAGGGATTGAATCCAGGACGTCCTGCCTATATATAGTGGTTCTCTAACCAACTGAGCTACCAGCCCTTGGATATCAACACTCAATTGAACAATGTTGTCTAACAAGGCCCAGGCTTTGACTTTGACAATTCCAATACGCCCCCACAAGGTCTAGCCTGATCTAGCCTTTGGCCAATGTGCCCATTAAATTACATAATCTGTTCATATCTCTCGCGTAGGGCTCATAACCTGTTGAGTTGAGAACTATTGAGAGAAAAGCTCAGTAAGTGACTATTATATAAACAGTAAAAAAAGCACAAAGTAGAACAGGCAATCAGCATGTTCTAGTTAGAGAGAAAAGAAAGACAATAGTATATGTGTATTATAGAGTAACTATGATGTTTCTATAGCTAACAATATGATTAATCATGTGACCAATATAATAGTTACTTACTAAGACACTTACCAATTGCCTTATGCCTTATGTACGTAGCTTAGTCAGCCCCCACCACTAACATGTGTTATCTAGTATATATACCAGCTACCTTCCTGTACATATTTCCTAACTCTTGAATAACTCTTTAATCACTTCCTAAGACCCTGCTTGTGATTAGAGCTCTTGACTTTCTGTTAGTTTGGCATAAGAGTCAGGATTCTCACACAATCAACAGCTTCAGTCAAGCATTGTCTATGATCATAACAACAGCTACACTCATTACCATAATCCTATTCTTTGTTGTATCCACCCTATTTATTGTCTCATATCTTTTATACACAACTCTAACATCTTTAACTTTAACCCCTACCAGCCCACTTCCCATTCTCCCATTGTCTTATTCTCCTAAGAGACGTCAAATCTCTTGAGGAAATCCCTCTCACTCCCATTCCCCTAGCTACAACTTTACCTGGTGTGGAACCAAGTGAAGTTTAAATAGAGTTTTAAATAGTTTCATTCTTTGTTTACCTCTGACCAGGCCGCTGTTA